AGTTCTTCCTTATTTGTTCCAGTTGCCACCATGTTTCTCAGCCGCAAACAGTACTCTCTCATCTGTTTAAGGAGAAGGTCATTTTATTTTAAGGTTACGAAAGCTGCTGCCAAATGAGTCTTCAGGACTTCCAACTAACCAGGTTGTAACAAGCACCCATTTTACCCTTCAGAACATTTTCAAAATTAAAAGAAATCCACTTCAGAATGTCTCGTTAGATATTGATTCTTTAAAATCAAGATTCTCATTTACATATGAGAGCAGCACAAAAAAAAATCTACAAGCACATGCAATTCAATGACTATTTTCCAACTATTTTGAAGCTTACAGCTATCAGCTTTTCTTAAGGCTTGGCTCCCCTTGGTTCTGTAACACACCTAGTGCTGCAACATTCAAACTCATTGCCACCTCTGACTCACAGAGCAGACTGCCTCTGTACTGTAAAATTAATTCTGCAATTCTAATGCATAATTAATCTCTTGGCTGATAAAAATAATGGAGCACTTCCCCCCTGCATACAGTATTGCAGTAAGAGCAGCACATGCCTCCATTACTGTCATCATCCATAAGGCTGAGAAGCAGTGACAGGAGCTCCCTCAAGACCAGCTGGTTTGCAGTGTTGAAGAAAAGAACAACATTAGCACCACCATTATGTCTAGGCTCACTGCAGCAGATTTTGCATTTTTTATGTATTTCCAAAGGCACTTTTCTCTTAGCATATTCCTTATGAACTGGAATAATCAAAGCCCATTATAAAAATGCAGTTGAAGCTTTTTCATCTAGAATCATAGTTACCTAGCCACCTACACTAACATCCTCCCAGATGAATTCACTTCTGTAGTTTAGGATTCAAGCTACAACCACAAATCAAGCATAAGCTTTTCAGAAATTTAAGAATTAGGAACAATTGCTACTGAAGTTGTGATGTATTCAAGCTACTGAAGCCTGACAAATGGTCATTTTCTTCCATAAGCACATTTTCCTGCTTCATATTTCAAGATTAATTGCGCTGCTTTGCTATGAGTTCAGGCTGCCTTTTGAATAAAATAAGTTCAGTTTCTGAGATGCACTTAATACTTCAGCCAATAAAAAGAAATGAAAGAATATCTGAAGCAGGGTCATTCCCACCCTTCTTTAATTGTAACATATAAACCACTTTTACCTTATGATTCAAGATCTCATTCATCCTTCTAGTAGCCTCTGTGGTATGAGATTCAGGAAAGTACTTCTTGGGAACAACACCATACTTTTCTAAAAGAAATTAAGTTGAGGGTTAGCAATCATTGCTGGAATGGGATCTCTGAGTGGCTCGATTCATTCCATTCAACACTCAGCTCTTCCAGACCAGTTAGTGCTTTTAAGAAGCTCTTTCTCACTAGAAAAAAAGTTAACATGAAAATTAAGATCCTGGAAAACCTTGCAAAAAACTGAACTCATGAATCATTCCATGTATTTGATCTCAGTTTAAGTAACTGATTTCCCAGTCTCCTTCACTCAACACTGATAAAGCATCAGCAATATCCATTTCCTACATCTCAGTACCAAAGATCACTCCACTCAAGATTCTGAATATAACAGCAGCAACCAGAAGTTTTTCTGCCTTGTCTAAGTGTTTATAACAGTGAAAAAAATTTACCCCCAGGCTTCAAAGAAACAAGTTTCTTTTGTGATTCTAAACTTACATTATTGGCTTGTTACTTTACAGAGGCATTCAATTGCATTATCATACAAATGAAAGCAAATGCTAGTCTAATTCAGACACCAGTGCTAAGGATGATGCTCCCTAAATTACATCTTTGTAAGACCAGCATTGCCACATTCCATATAATTTCCCTCTCACCAATCTTTACATTGCCTTTCTTCAGGCTGCAGCTTTTTTACCTTGGACTGCACTAGGACTGCATACATAGATACAAAGGCAACAACATTGAGTTGAGACAGAAGTAAAAGGGGACTAAAGCTTACTACTGAATTGACAATCTGGGGTATCTAATTAGTCCTGCTGATTTTGAGTTTCTGTCAGAAGCAGCAATATGCATAAATAAAGATCCAAAAAGATTTAAGCCCAATGCTTAGAAGACACAATAAGATCCTTGATTGAAAAAGGCAGCCACTAAGTGCCGTGCCTTTTAACAAGCTTCCAGGTCTCATACTCAATTTCTAACTACTACAGATTGTCAGAATAAGAAAACTTAAATACATCAATCAAAGCATACTACAAGCTCTTCCTGCATGTCTCATGTCTGGGGATTAAGTACACAGAACAAGAAAACCCATGTTTATGGAAGTTCATATCCCTTTTCTCCCTGTGCTAATAACAGAAAGGTGATTGTTACTTGAAAGGAAGTGTGATTAGAAAATAGGTTAGTTGCTTTTTCACATGGTGTATCAGAAGATTAAAGAAAGCAAAGCCGGAAATCAGTAATTAAGTCCAGCAGAACTTACACAGTTCTCCAGACTTCATTTTACCTGCAAAGTTTTCCATTAAACATTAGCAGAATGCTTTGAGACAGACTACAACTTACTTTCAGGCATAAAAGTGTAAAAGATGTAATAAGCCTTATGCTCAGAACCAAGTTATTACTCCTCATATTTACCTCAGTCATTTCAAGCTGGTTTTGGATGGGTTAGGTTACAGTGAAAAGTATGAGCAACCTCTACTTAAAGTGTTCTGCAGTGCCAGCTACTATATGACCTAGGAGATCCTACACTGTAATATCAAGTATAGTATCAAACATTGCAGAATCGATCCAAAATTGTTTTTTTTTCACTCATCTCAATCAGTGCACAATTGAGGACTCCCAGCATCCAACTTCCTTACCTATAATGTTAACCAACATATCCCACTGGCCTCCATCATTTGTGGGGTTAGAGAGCAGGAACTGCACCAGCCTTCCATCTATGGGTTCCTTTTTCTGAGCTGTTTCCACAAAGGCATTTAGAAAGTAGTAACAACGTTCAACCTATAATGAACAGACAGGACAAATCTCAATGTGATACACGCATAGATTCATTCCCATGTATTCAGTTCTTTGGATCTAGAAGAAACTAACCAGATTAAACAATCTGCTCATCCATTAACATGCTTGTTTTCCCTATATTATTCCAGGGCTTAACCTCAAGTACAGACTATGTATTTACAAGTGAGTTAGTACAGAGCTCGAGGGCGGAGGAAACAGGAAATGTGAAACAAGTTATATAATGAAGCCTGGCACAAACAAGTGCTAGGTTTTCTCAATTTCCCTTAGGGAAAAAAGCAAACAGCTCCCAGATCAGTAGGTGGCAAGCACTACTGAAAGGGAGCTCCATAGAAAATTACAGTTAGGCTTAGGCTTCCCGCTGGGCCTACCATAAATAACTTTTAAAATACTCAGAACACTTGAAAGACTTTTACTACTCCAAAACATTAGCATCTTGATGACTTCCTTCTCAAGCTGAAAGTCTCACTTTGCCCAATCTTAATTTCAAATATATATTTAAAAATTTCTGGTGCTTCTTTTCACTCACGTTTTCTATCTGGATTGTTCAGATAGCCCAGCTTAAGAGAAATTCTGTCCCAACACTAAGACTCAATTGTGTAAGCATTCCTAGCACAGTCTGTGGCCTGTAGTACTGTACCTTGTCCCAGAAAAAGAGATATGACTGGCTGAATTCAAACTCTTCAATGTTGTACTTCTTCATGAAGGGAAGACGCATTGCATTGAGGCAGGAAAAGATCCAACACCTCCCTGAGGTCAAAGAAACAAGAATGAAACTGCAGCACTTGTATTCAGAGTTACATCGTGAATTTTGTGTGCCATCTTAAGCGTTTGGACCAGTGCCCTGGCCAGCACTGTAGGTTACTGAATAACCAGTAAGTTCAGAAGTCCTGGATAGACTTGATGATCTTAGTGGTCTTTTCCAACCTTAACGATTCTATGTTCCTGTGAACCATGCATGCATGCAGGTCTCTCAACTACTTCCATCTCACTCTTTGCAGAAGGGAAAGCAGGCCAGAAGGCAGATATCACCCTGCTGCAGGGACTCCACATCAGATCACACACAGAACTTTCAGCAGCTGCTCTCAGAACTCAGTGCCACCAGAATCCCTCCTGGAGCCCTGCAGTGAGCTCACCCTGCCATGTCCAACCCTGAACAAAACTCCTCTTGCTCTGAGACCCCCAGAAGGGCCCCAACAGAGATTCCTACACCCACAGGGAGGCAACCAACCACCCCAGGTGCCCCAAAGCCCCCACTTACCAGAATTCTTCTGGTTGGTGACAGGCTTGCCCTCGGCGGGCACGGCGTGTTGGAAGACCTGTATGGTGTCCTGCACCACCTGCCGCTGCAGACAAACCTCCAGCGGGTCGCTGCAGGTCGCCACGTTCTGGGCCAGTAGGAACTGCGGCTCGGCCCGCAGCCGCCGGGTGAAGGCCGCGGCCTTTTCGGTGCTGAGCCCTGCTGCGGGGGGTAAGAGGGGAAAGGGGAAGGCAGCATAAGCGCCCCGCACCGGGATACAGGAGGACCCCAGGCCTACAGCCCCTCATGGGCTTTTATCGTGGAGACCCCACCCCAGAGATAAGCCCCCCCCCGAGCCCACCACGAGGGTGAGCCCACCCCCCGCGGATGAGGCCCCCCACACGCGTGCCCACCCCTCACCGTGGGCATTCATGGTGCCGGAAAGCGGAGCGCCGCACAACAGCCGAACCCCTGCAACGGGTCGCGCGCGCCCCGCCGGAAGCGGCTCTTATAGCCCCGGCACCGGAAGCCGGAAGTGGAGCCCGAACCGCTCGACGCTAAGGGTTGGCGGTGGGAGGGGGGACGGCGGGCGGAGAGGGACAAAAGGCGTCGGATTGCGCGAGCCGACCCCGCGGAAGCGCGCGAAGCTCCGCCCCCTTTCGGCGCCGCGCCCTTTTCTCCAGAACGTTCGGCGCTGCGGGCGGGCGCGCGTCTGCGCTGTGCTGTGTGGGAACGGCGCGTGCACCACAGCCTCGAGCTTGACGTACAGCATGGCGCGTTTATTGGCGGTAAGGGGAAGCCCCGAGAAGATGAAGGCGGCAGGCAGGCAGGCTGCCCCGCCACCACCAGCACGGCACCCCGGGCTGCCCTTCTGTGGCGGCTGTGGGACGGGGTGTGGCGGGCCCTCAGCCTCCTGCCCCGGTCTGCGTTGTGAGCAGCGAGTTACAACCAGCATTGTGAGATGGTGCTTGTGTTGTCGCAAAGCTTTGCTAAGCCCCTGCCCGGAGTTGTGTTTTGGTGCCTAATCTCGTGCAGGTGTGCCACCGCTTCGTGTGGTGTTTTCTGGGTGTGCAAAGCTTCCGTGCCATCTTCACCTGCAAGCAAAAGGGAATGACGTGGAAATTCACTCTGTATGGGGAAAAAAAGGAAAAAAAAAAGAAGCCAACGGCTGAACTGAATTCAGCTCCCAACAGCTGTGGCTGCACGGTGAGGTTTTCCCCCCTGCACAGAGTGTTTTGCTTTTCACACCGTGTCCCTGCCCTGTGCCTGCTGTCTGTGTCCCCACGTCCCGGCCCCGCAGCTGTGAGGCAGGGTGACGGCAGCCATCCGGAGCTGCGGCACAGCAGGGCAGTGTGTGAGTGCTTTCATGTTCTGCCAGAGCTTAAAGAAGGGGTTCCATTCAGGCCTTTATTCTGGGAAGCTTTGTGGCTGTGCAGTCAGATACTTACAGGGCTGTTTCGCTTGGTTTTTTGAAGCACTGAAAAGAAAGAGAGAGTCCTGTCACCGTTCGTGTTTTCTGCCCGTGGAAGTGTTACTACTGAGCTCTTGCACACGTGTAACTCACTCCCTTAAAATACCTGATATTTGATTTATATGCTAGTAATTCTCAAGGAGGTGATACTACACAATGGCTCTCTAACACTGGAAGACAGCACTACAAGGCAGCATAGAAGAGGTAGAAAACAAAAGGACATTGAAGCACTCTGTTTTTCTTAAGAAACTGAGTCTTTCCATACCTTAAATATTTTCTCTTTTTGAGCCACGATTCCAAAAAGCACAGTGAGTGCAACCACCACAACAGCAGCAATAACAGCTTCCTTGGGAAAAACAAGTTTTTTATCTGTGAAGAGGGAGAGGAGGCTGACTGTCTGATAGATTGGTGTCGTCACATTGTAAAGTCATTTCACAGAGCTGGAGGGAGGCACGTTTCTGTTTTGGTGAGTGGAAGGAGGAATTGAAACTGGCTCCCATAGCCCTGCTTTCAGGACACCCATAGGAGTGGTGGGCAGTGGTTCCCTGATTCTGATGGTTCACTGAGACATGGGCACCCAGCCCAGCTCCCTGTAGCCCATGGAGGCACCGTCATTTCTGGAGGACAGCACAGCACCATTGCCTTAAGCAGCTTTTTTTTTTAGCATGGCAGAACAATGTGGTTAGAATAAGAAGCTTCAAGTGAGACCTAAGGTGCTTTAAAGCACACTTGGATGTGCCTTGTCATCATGGGAAGTGAGAAAGCGGGATGAGTCCACATCAGGTCACAGTTGCCAAATGCTTTTGAATAACAGGTAAAGCAGGAAGGGCCTTCTCTGGTGCTGTGCAGGCAGGCACGGGTGCACAGAGAGCTCCTTGCTGCTCTCAGAAGTTCATGTGGGGAATTTCCATGATGTAAACCCACTTACAGTGGGTTGCTACCATTGTAAAAGTGAACGCAGAGCTGGCTGTACAACTTAATGTTTAGTAGTAGCTTTGTTACCTTCAACTATCAGGTGGAAATCCTTACTGCTGTCTCCACAGGAAGATTTCACCTCACAAGTGTAGGTCCCGTTGTCAGACTTCTGTACTTTCTTGATAGAGAGCTGGAAGGTCTCACTGGTCTGGTACACCTGGTAGTGGTCTTGTAGGGTTAGGATGGTGTTGTTCTTGTACCACGTTGTTTGGCCTTGAGGGTTGGACTTGGCATTGCAGGTCAGAGTGACGTCTTTGCCTTCTTCAATATAGATGGACTCATCTTCACCCACGGAGGGAGGAACTATTCAGAGTAAGAGCAGTTAAAGAGATCATTCATGTAAGTAAGTAGGTTCCCTTTTCACATCAACTGTGACACCATTTGTAGGGAACCTGCTTTAGTAGGGGAGTTAGACTTTGATGATCCCCTGAGGTTCCTTCCAGCCCCTACAGTTCTGTGATCTGAGCACTGCTGTCCTGTGCCCCATGGTGGTCAGCAGGGCAGTCGCGACAGTTACTCCTGTGACTTTCCTGCCCCGACTTGTATCCTTGAGAAAGAGTCTAGGTGGAGGCAGGGATGTAGCCAGAAAATCTTAGTTAAAGGGCCCACCCACTGCCTGTAAAAGAGGCATTAGAACAGGCTATAAGCACCACTGCAGAAAGGGAGTGACTTATCACGTGAGCTATCTCCTCCTCAGCACATTTTTTCCCGGTGAATACAGTGCACAAGGGTACAAAAAACATCCTGCCCTCAGCTGAGCACATGGGGTGGGACAAAGCCCACCCAGCCATCCCTCACTGATAGCAGCACTCACAGCGGACGTCCAGGACCACCGAGACCTGCACGGACTGGTCCCGTACCAGCCTGCACGTGAAGGCAACGCCATTGTCAGACTCAGAGACTGGAGAGATGCAGATGTTGCTGATGTTCACTTTATTCCCATCTTTCAGATCCACACGGCCATCTCCTCGGTACCAGAGCAGCTCCTCGGCTTGGCTGCTGTTCTGTGCTAGGCAGGACAGGGAGGCGAGGGACCCGGATGATATGGTCAGAGTGAAGTCATCGTTGTGGTTATTGACAGACAGTTCTACACCTGCAAAAGAAGAAGAATGAGGGTATTTAGGCATCCTGACCTGCACCCTTCTCACAAATGCCCATGATTTCCTGACCTTGGAGGAAACAATGAGAGCGTTAGGCTTCAACATAACACTCCTCTTTCAGGTGGGACTTTAGTTTCTAAAATAGGAAGCATCTTCATCACAGGCTTCCCTTCATGGTTACTTAAAATCAAAATGAAAGTTTTGCAACTGACTACATGAATTCCAAAGCCTGACCTATGATAGATAACAAAGCATCTGAAAACCATGTGGTGGCACTGGTAATGTAACACGCAGTGAGAGAACACCCTGCCAGCAGTGCCCACCGTCCTACTGTTGTAGCATATCTGTGCCAAGAGTTTTTGTGCCCACAGTTTGGTGTTCTGCTTTTTGGCTGGAGCTGAACGTTGTATTAAGCTGTTCATCAGCTCCTCTGCTGCGGCCAGAAGGTTGGTGAGTCACAGTTAATCTAACGTAGAGCCTCAGGATGGATTAAATGGGAAAACAATATGGGAAATAAATTTTTCTGTCAAGCTGGAACTCTCTAATTTAGCCGATGTCATGAATGAATGAGCTGAAAAATACATCTCAGAATAAAAGGCAGCGTGGTCCTGTGAGTACAACAGCCAAGAGCACCCTGTCTCTCCCTTGGTATTCCCAGGCCAAGTGCATTGCAGTTCTCACTTTGTGGAGCAGCTGTGAACATGGTGGCCTCATCATTCCTGTGCAGCTGACTGAAATGCTGAAGCTTCCCCATTCCCTGCTTGGCTGCTCTCAGAATCAGAGGCCAGTTTTTAGACAGTCCTCCGGGAGTGATCTCCAGAGCATATGAAAACAGGGTTCTGCCATTACCTATCACCCCAGGCAGGACCCAACCCCAGCCAGTTTCACCTGCCAGCACAACGGAATTTGGACAAACAACGCTGCATTTTTCCATTACTTACCTGTGGCTACGTGTACCAAAAAGCAAAGCACGAGGATGTGCACTTGGCAGGAGGCTGTGAGTCTGCTTCTCTGTGCCATCATGGGGAGCCCAGCTGGTGCCTGCCAAAGAGAGGCAGGGTCACTGCACTGACTGCAGCTGTTGGGAGCCTTTGGTGGCGTTGGGTGAGGATCACCAGGGCATAAACTGAGCCAATGTCTTGCTTTTCTCAAGGGGATATTTTTGTATTTAATTTCTGCTGCCTGAGATCATTGTCTCTCACTCTCTGTCCATCCCTGACTTACCTTGGGAAGAGTCTCAGAGAGGTGGCTTCTGAAAAGAAATGTGCAGCGCTTCCTCTCCTTATTTATAAGCTCTGATTTTTAATGTTTTATGGTAGCTCCGTAAGAAGTGAGTCCATAAAATGGGTTCAAGGCCACATTTAATTCCTGCATTTCTGAGCTCCCAGAACACTGAAGAAAAGTATTTGCTGGGCTCTGCTGGCTGTTTTATGAGTCTTGACAAGACAATGAATAACCAAGGAGAAAGTTCCTGCATCAGCCATAAAGACCTCCTGCCAAAAATAACACTTTTTCCCTTTCAGCTTTCTGGCTGTTCACAACACTGTTTCAAACCATAGGAATTGTGATTCTGTGAAGCTTATCCTAATTATTCTCTAAGAGGGCTCCAGCTGCCCCTTCCTGCCCCATGTCCTGCTGCTGGGTCCTTCTTTGGCTGCGGAAAGAGAAAATGCTCCAGTTCAGACTTTGGACTGCATGCTGGCTGAGCAGGGAGCAGAGACATGCCCTGTAATGCTGAGTACCCTCAGGGTACATTGTGCTTAGCTCAGGTCACTGCTCTGCAATGATCCTTCACGTGAAGAAGGAAGTTTACAGTAAGTGAGAATGTAAAGAGTGAAAGAGTGAAGTTTGGGGGTGTATTTTCAGTCAATAAACAAGAAGAAGGGGAAAAGACCATCAGGTAACAGGGAGCTTTGTCGTGACACAGGACACAGCATTGAATGGGACCTGGAGAAAATTCTGTGCCAGGTTTGCCCCAGGTGTGTGTGATGGGCAGAAGGATGAGCTCGGGTTCATGGGGTTTGTGGCCATTAAATGACGGCAGAGGCAGTGGTGTTTTGCAATGGGATTTGAGATGTGCTGAAAGAAGGGAGATTAGAAAAGCAAGGTTTTAACTTGGCCAGAGATACGGGAAGGCAACAATTTAAAACTGATAAGGAATTACTTTCGCAATGACTTTTTACATATATATTTTTATATAGGGCTTAATTATCTTGTGGGTGTCTTAATTACCACCATGGTCTGGAGTTTTGTGGGTTGCATTATCCACCTTCTCATTATATTTAGGAGGGACATAAACTTCGTTCCAGAATGCAAAGCAGCCACCAATGAGTCAGACTGGGAGGGAGGGTCCCCTTCAGAGAGGCAGGAGCCCCGTGACTGTCTTGCAAGGAGCCAGCTCTGCTTTGTGCTGTTTGTGTCAAGCAGTGTCAGGGGAGGGTTCCATGGGCATGGGCTGGAATTATCCACCGGCTCCTCCTCGCATCCTTATGGCAACAGTACACCAACAAACCCCAAATAAGGCTGTTGTTACCTATGACTCTGAACAGCCCCAAAGGGAGTAAATTAATAAACGCCAGTCTTTTCGGGTGTAACACAAGCCTCAGAAACCTGAGAAGAAATGATTTAGAACGTGAAAGAGACTGTTGGCTGCGTTACCCTCCAGCTCACAGTCAGGGCAGTGCGTGTCCCAGTCTGTCCTCAGTGCCTCCAGAGGCAGAGCACTGCTCAGAACCCCCTGGGCTGTCAATGGCGGAGGGTTGCTCTTGCAATCCGGGGCATCCCAGGATGCAAACAGATATGTGTGAGTTGGGATTGCCTCTCTGGGTTGGCTGGCAGTGACTGTAAGTGGCTGCAATCCAGAAAACGCCTGTGCTGGTCCCCGAGGCTCTGCCCCAGGCTGCTCGTTGTGGTTCTCCTCTCCTAATCCCTTTTTAATACGCGGTGCCACATGTTTTGCAACTTCCATTGTTTAGGAACACCCAAACCCAGCTCCGAGCAGGGCTGCAGGGAGTGCTGCTTGGGCACCCTCTGCTCTGCGCTGCCTCCCACAAATCCCATTTTCCCCAAGTATGATGACTGGAGATGTGCCCTGCTTTTGCAATCAGATTCAGCCCAAACCCCACATACTTTCCACTATTGGCACAGAAGAATCTCAAGTTTTGTTTTGTTTTGTTTTGTTTTAATATATAATTTTGCTCATCATCGTATTTCCTGATCATCCTTAAATAAAAGGTCACTGAATGCAGAGGAAAGATTGACAAGTTTTAGCCCTGGGGAAAAAAACAAGGAGAAGAGCCAGTGCCTGTGTGAAGGTTGGAGGGCGGCGGGGGCCACCTACTGGCTGCAGGGCGGTGCCATCGTGCTGTGCCTCTGTCATAGCTTTAAGCAGTTCCTTTCAATCATTTTTTTCAGGATCGTTTCAACTCTGTCTCCTTGAAGTGAGTGCAAGAAACAGAGCTGTGTCCCAGGAGTGCAAGTCTAAGCTGTACTGCAGAGCAGCGAAGCGCTGGCCCATGGATCCTGTGCTGTGATGAGAGCACCCAGAGACTGCACAAATTCTCAGGTTTGTGCACAAAGGTTCTGACAAATCACTGCTGTGCTCGTTGCTGTCTGTCACCAGCCTCATCCCTGATGCTTTGGGTCATGGTCAGTGCTGCAGGTGCCCACAGCCACCAACCTGACTGAGAAAACTAAGGGCAGAACCTGGTGTGGTTGTTTCTGTCCTGCTCTGTGAAATATGGTCCCAAATAAAAGCACATGGGAAAAGAACTTGGTGTTAAATGAACAGTACAGGTATCTGCAGGAGATAGATGTGAGGTTTCTGTTTTAAATTCCACTTAAATTAGGAAAAATGTGTTCTCAGAGCAGTGATGCAGTGGCATAACTGCCCAGGGAGGTGGGGGAGTCCCCATCCCTGGAGGTGTTCAGGAACCATGGGGATGTGGCACTGAGGGCTGTGGTCAGTGGGCATTATGGGGTGGGTTGGGGTTGGGCTTGGGGATCTGAGAGCTCATTTTCAACCTGAATGATTCTGTGATTCTGAATGTTGGTTCTTGTATCTTCCCAGCAAGGGGTCCTGTTCACTAACTTTCCACTTTCACACATAGTAGCACTCAGGCAGATGAATAATAACAATCCTTTGTTTGTCTATCCTCTGCTCATGAAACTCCATTTTCAACCCAATGGGAGCAACTCCAAGGCAGCCTCCTGCCCAGCAGACGGTGGTAGCAGAGATTATCCACAAAGTCCCCATAACTTTGTTGTTTTTCTGAACAGAAACAAGCTGCCAGTGATGGGCTGAAATTCAAGGGATTTTTGCTTCCTATGGGAAACCAGATTGACTGGGGTTGGTGCCAGGTTGGGTGCCTGTTTCTTGCTGGATTTAGAAGCTCCCTCATGGCCAGTGCAGGAAGTTCCCTGGTGTAATTCCCTGATCTGCTTCTTTTTCAAGACACTGCTGTGCTGTTGTACCCTTCAGCCTGGACCTAAGGTATTTTTGTCTGCCTAGGAACTACCATCACCAATGGGACTTCTTGGAAGTGCACTGCTGGAAAACCAAGTGTTGATTTGATCCTGTGAACACCTCCCAAACAACATCAGCAGTTTGAACTTCCCCACTGTGGAGCTGTCCCTCGTTCCCTCTGTGAGCAATCTGCCAAGACCAGGCTGCCCCATCCTGCCTGATGGGGAACCACTCGGGAGGAAAACACGCACTCCTGCAAAAGGCACAGCCCCCATGGAGGAGCAGGAGGCGTTGTGCAGGTCAGTCCCTAACCTGCAGTCTCACCCTGCCTGCAGGCAGAGCTCTCAGGCTGGCTGGTGGGAGCGAGGGAGCTTTATTTATGCTGGCTGATGAGAAAATGACGGGATGAGTCAGGCCTCTGCCACATGCTGCTTTTACAGTTGGTTTGTTGAAATTCCAGACAACTGGGCCTTTTTCGGCTAAAAAGGGAAATTATAGTTATGCTGTGTAAATCCAAAGCTATTTATTTGTAGACTGAGGATGTAACTTACGTAACTGGGACCACTTCTGAGATTGCCAAGTTCCACATTGATGTTCCTTCTCCCTTTCAGTTTAAAATACCCTGATGACCCAGGTCTTTCAGGATCAACCCTGAGAAGGAGGAGCTGATTTGCTCTTCTTTTCCTCAGGGCCCTTTGGATGCTGTGCATGCTCTGATCTGTGGAGCAGCAGATGGCAAAGATCTGCACAAGGGATGGATGTCCCACAAAGGTTGCAGGTTTATGGGCCACTCAGCTCGTGTCTCCAACAGGAAACGCTGGAGCTGGGAAGCAGATGTGTATGGGAGATAGCACTGAGGATTTAAACAGGGATTGCTGAGACCTGGTGTTGGAGGTGACCCCTTTTTTTATATGGGCTGCAGTGTGTTTTTTGCAAAGTTCTTCTCGTTATTCCTGATCATTTCACCTGCCTAAAAAAAAAAAAAAGCAGCAAAGATCTGATCAGAGGAACCCCCAAATATTATTTATCTGTCTCTTCAGACACTGTCCTGCAGCGGCACCCAGCACGGCTGTGCTTCACATCTAACTGCACTGAAATGCCCTCAGTGCTCCGGGGCCGGGCGGTTCCCCGCAGTAAGCCGGGCCCCGGGGCGATACTCAGCCCCCTGCGCCTGTCGGTCCCCAGACCACGCCTGTTCGCTGCTCCCCTGCCTCGCCTTTCCCTTTCGGGTAGGACAGCGCTGCAGCCCCGCCGTTCCGTCCCGCGGCGAGAAGCGCTCCGCACGAGGCCGGGAGCGGCGCGGCCAACAGGGGGCGCCACAGCGCTCCGCGTCGCCCCGCCCCCCGTGACGCAGCGCCGCCCTCCGCTCCCCATTGGCCGCTCTCCGTCTCGCCCCGGCCGCTTCACCCTCGGGCCGGCGCTCATTGGCGGGCGGCCTGAGCATCGCGCCCGCCCCCTCCCGGTGCCCGGCGGCTCCGCGGCGCGGCGGGGCCGGGGCGTGCGGCGGGGTCATGGCGAGCGCAGCGCGGGGGCCGCGTGGGTTGGTGCCGCTCTGCGCGCTGCTGGCGCTGCTGGGCCCGGCGCGCGGCACGCACATCAAGAAGGCGGAGGCGGCGGAGCCCGGCGAGGCGCTGCGGTACCTGCACGCGGCCGAGCTGGGCGAGGCGCTGCGGGAGCTGGCGGCCTCGGCCCCGCCGGGCCTCGCGCGGCTCTTCAGCATCGGCGAATCGGTGGAGGGGCGGCCGCTGTGGGTGCTGCGACTGACGGCGGGGCTGGAAGCGTCCCGGGCCGGCGAGGAGCCCGGCGGGCCGCCCATACCCGGGCGGCCGCAGGTGAAGCTGGTGGGCAACATGCACGGCGACGAGCCCCTGGCGCGGCCGCTGCTGCTGCGGCTGGCCCGGGAGTTGGTGCGGGGCTGGGCCGGCGGCGACGCGCGGATCGGCCGCCTGCTGAACACCACCGACCTCTACCTGCTGCCCAGCCTCAACCCCGACGGCTTCGAGCACGCCCAGGAGGGAGACTGCGGCGGCGGCGGGGCGGGCGGCCGGGAGAACAGCCGCGGCCGGGACCTCAACCGCAGCTTCCCCGACCAATTCGAGGCCTCCGAGCCCGACCTGGGCCCCGTGCCCGAGGTGCGAGCCCTCATCGCCTGGATGCGGCGCAACAAGTGAGTGCGGGGCGGCCCTGCGCCGTCCGGGCTGCTTTCCTACCAGCGCCCGACCTCCGGCGCTGCCCACGGCGGAGGCACGGGCCGCTCTCTGCTCTCTCCCGTTCAGCTTTGGGGAGCAAGGTTTAGGTCGAGGGACTCTCCTTGTTAACGCCCGGTATGTGGCTGCCCACCGGGAGCCGTGCTTGGGGAGGCCCTGCAGGCTGCACCGGGACTGGTGTGTCCTGCTCAGACGGCTCGGTTATCCAGGAGCCCTCCTGGTTTGGTACAGTTCAGATTTAGCTGCAAGAGAAACCTTTGCGTGTTCTTAATATCATTTTGGAAATTACTTTTTGCTTTCTGTTTGTTAATTTAATGGTTTTGCAAAGGTGAGGTGAGATTTTCATTGAAACCAGGCTGGAATAGAAAGAATGCCATCCTTTGTGCACCCGCTGGGCTGCTGCGCTCGCTGCACCAACGTAGTGCTGGTACAGGAGGGGACGGGTAAACAGAACTGCTTGGCTTAAATAATAAAACAAACAAAAAAAATAGATAGCGGGTGTAACCCAGTTCACGTGTGCTGTATGAAGCAAGGACAGAGGTATTGGTTGCATTACCTCTGCTCAGGAACAGCAACGTGCTGAACTTCAGTTCTCCTTCTGGTGGAAGCGGCTGTTGCTGGCTTCTTATTCACGGTGTTCCAACATGACTCTTAATTCTTTTCTTCTCCTTCCCAACTCCAGGTTTCTGCTCTCTGGCAACCTGCACGGTGGCTCAGTGGTTGCAAGCTATCCCTATGATGACTCGCCCACACATAAGCCCACAGGAGTCTACAGTAAATCAGCTGATGATGAAGTGTTCAAATATTTGGCAAAAGCTTATGCATCACATCACCCCATAATGAGGACTGGCAAGCCAAATTGCCCTGGTGAGGAGGGAGAGACCTTCCCGGAGGGCATCACCAATGGTGCCCAGTGGTACGATGTGGAAGGTAAGCTGTGCTGCTGAGCCACTCTCACTGCTACTTTGGGTCACGTGATGGTGTACAGAAATGATTTCGTGGTCCTGCTGAGAAACAGTAGTGATGACCATCAAGGGAAGCATGGTAGGTAAGCAATGTTTTTAGCTTGGGACGTGTTCTAGCAGCTTGAAATGGCTTCATGGTCACACCGGCAAGTGCTTGGTGAATCTCAGCTTGGGAGATGCTTGTAAGGAACAGATCACAGCACACTGGAGGGCTCTTCTGCCCTCATTAGTAGCCAGAGGGTTATCCTACACACTGGAGGCTTCATCTGCCAAAGGGACTATCATAAGGTCTTGAGACAGTTACCAAGTTTTAATGATGGTATGGGAAGGTAAACTTGTGTTAATGTACTGAAAACACAAGCAACTCTGATCTGAAACCAGTGCCAGTGTTCTGCGAGGGTTTTTAAACCTCTAAACTTGTAGGTTTGTAAATGGTTATAAGGTGGCCAGATGTAAAGATGTAGAATGATGTAAGTGCACGCACGGTGTGAGCTAACCTAGCTGCTCTCTCTGAGGTGGGGTGGTTTGGCCACGCAGTGGGCTGTGCTGTGTGCATCACTTCTGCTCTGCTGAGACTTAAATGTCAGTTTGTGATGAGGTGCTTTTGTGGAAGGGAGTCTGTGAGTAGCGGGAAGAGAAATCTTGGCTGTGCCCTTAGAAAGAATTACAGCATTTCCACACTCTCTCTGCGGAAGTTGTACAACCACAGGCTCACCAGGCAGCACGGTGACTTCTGTGGTGAGGACAAAGCACCAATCTGGCAGAACTGGCCTGAAGAAGTTGCACTGCTTTGCTGTGTCTGGACTGCTCTGCTTTCCCTCGCACTGGGGCTGAGGCAGAAGGCAGGAAAGTCATGAAATCAGGCATAGCAGATCCCAAATAGCTTAACAAATTCTGAATGTACAGTGTCTTTCCAAAACATGGATTTCAGAGCTGAATCATATGCTAACCCGATGTCCACGTTTCTGGGGAAGCAAGGAGGGTGATCCATTATTAGACCTGATTACATCACCGCCGTGCTGGAGAAGGAAGTCCTTATTTCAGCGGTTGGATGGATCGTTCCTGAGGATTTCACTGGTCTGATAAGTTGCAGTGTTCAAACAAGATGTGGCTCTGCCATGTTTGCTAACAGCCGTCTCCTCTCCTCCACCCTGCCCAGCACAGCACTGGTATTTACTGGCCTCAAGGTTCACTCTGGGAAGCAGAAAGTTCAGCACAAGGAAGGTTTGTGTAATCTCGTGCATCTGCTCGTGACGGAACAGGATATCCTGGATGATCTGTGCTGCCTTGTTCTCGTGGTGGTTGTTATCAGCAACCGTTGAGATCAATAGGTTTCTTTGCTGCAGCTCCAGGGCTTTTGGCTTCTTCCTCAACTGGGATGGGTGTGCTCTGGAGGGAAGCTGCTTTGAACTTTCAGTTTCCCTGCTCCTGGAGCAAGAAATGCTTCTCACCGCAGCGTTAACTTCATCCTCCTGCTGGGACAGGGAATGCCCCACCAGTGCCAGCCAGCCCATAGAAGGTTTGCTAGCAGCTGTTGCACAGGTGTGAACCTTTTGAGCTGCCTTTGTGTTGGAAGCTACTGAAGCTGGGGTTTGCCTGCTTTCTTCATGTAGGAAATGGCAAGGTGTGAGCTAGACCGCAGCGCTGTGGTTTATAACCTAATAGCCTCCAACTTTCAGCCTCTGCGGAAACAAACCCTTGAGCTGTGACAAGCCACAGCCTCGGGCTCTGTGCTGATGGCTGCAGGCAGTGATTATAAGCAGTGTGCTAACAACACCAGCTCAGAATGAAGTGCTGCTAGACTGGCAGCTGTGCCATCTCAGCCATGCCATAACTTCCATCTGGTTGCTGATCAGGAGGGTGGTGGCAGCCCTTGGAGCACATCCCGCACTGATGTATTAACCCACCATTGAGGGAAGAGTGCACATGAGCTAACAGATAACACGGGGGCAGCCTGTGCATTTTGAAGTTGTGTCAGGTTTCAGTATTGCTTTGTGGTTTTGGGTGTTAACGCTGATTTTCAGTAGTGGATGGAGAGTCAGTGGTATGCTGCTGTACTCAGACCAAGAGGCTTTTCCCAGTAACTGCAGAACTGGAATGCACAGGGGAAGGAGGATGGGAGCTCCGTGGCTGGGCTGAGCTCTGGTGAGAAGCATATGACATGCCTGAGGTGCAGAGCAAGTGCTCGTGGCCTGCAGAGCAGGTTGTGCTGGGAAAGGCTGCAGCCTCCAAGTGAACTCAAGCCAGGAAAAACAAAGAATTGAGAACAAAATGTTTCAACAGGTGGAAATTTTCCTACCACGTTTTATTGTGTGAAATCAAACATGCTGGAAAGCCAATTGCTGTGGGATTCTTTGTCCTGGAGCTACCAGTTGGGTTTCCGTTGGTGCCAGACCCCATTAACTTTGTTTTCAGTATCCTCTTATGTGTATCAAGCTAAGGTGGCAAGCACAAACCATCCGAGTAATTCTTAAGGTCAAGCGTGAGCAGAGTATGGCTCCTTGCCATGCGGCTCAATGTGGCTGCTGCGTTCCAGCTGCTATAGATAAGCATGTCTGGCACTGCTCGGGCTATCTCTGCTGTACATGTGCTCAGTCTTCCTTCCCTTGTAACCACGAGGGCTTTTAACTACTGAATGGCCAGTTCAGATCAAGAAAATAATTGGAAATTCGGGCTGTTTTATGATGCGGCTGAGTGCAGTCTGGGTCGAGAAGGGCAGCTGTCCTGGGGAGTCCATGAACGTGAGGAACTTTTGTCTGTGGGATGGTTGTGTTTGCCTTTAGGTGGTAAAGGCCCTGACTCAGAAATGGAATTAATTGTGACATTGAATGGGGTGTTTTATATGCTGCCTTAGGAGGCTTTTTCTTTATTTGTAGCCTCTCTCTAGAAGATGCTTTTCTCGCTGCTTTCAACCTGTGCTGTGAAGGTGCTGGAGGTGCCTACCAGGTGTTGGGGCAGGGAGAGGTTTGGTGTGGCTTAGGTGTGTGTTTGGCAACTTCTGAGCAGCTTGTGGTGACATTGAACTCGGAGCAGTTGAAAGGAGCCCTGACAGCAGCAGCTGCTTGTGAGATCCCTGCTGTGGCCTCTGCTTCCTGGGCATGTCCAAAGGCAACTGCACAGTGTGAGCTCTGATGGAAGGTTTCACCCATGGCTTCCTGGGTTATGCAGTTAGCTGTCATTGTGTTTACATACGAGTCTTTAATGTAAATTTTTATTTATTTATTTTTTCCTCGAGAAAACTGTTGGCTTGGTTAGAGGCTCTGATGTCTCTTTTCACACCTAACGTGAGCGGTGCAGTGCACGTGAAGGTGCTGCTCTGCTCCTCAGGGCCCTGGAAGGCTGCTGGGCTGGATTGTGAGCTGCTGGAGCTGGAGGCTGAAACCTCACCTCCTCTGAGTTTTAATGACTGCAGACTAATGGACCAAAACATTCCTCTGCTTTTTTGGGGCTGCTGCTGGTCTCACGCTGTGAGGCAATCAGCCCTGTCCACAGAGGAAGCAACTTATGCAGTGTATTTAATCATGTTTCTTGCCTTGTGCCATCTGTTCTCCCTGCAGAGCAGACAGGAACCTTTCTCTGCTGTGACTGAGCTGCAGGTCTCCATCTCCTAATGTCTGCTCCGCTGAGAGCTGAAATTAGAGAGCTTTCTTCATCATGCAGTTTGAAAATTGAGTCTTTCCAAGCTGGCCTAAAAGGCTTCTCTGGCATCTAGTGCATTTATGGTGTTGGGAGCTCCGGGCATGACTCGAGCGCTGCATTCTGCTGCCTGCCTGCCTGGTGTGGAGCTTGGCAGGGAGCAGAAGCATGCTGTAGGGCTCCTGTGCTGCGAGAGCTCTGAGCCTGCTGCCTGAAGGGGAGCCCTGATGCTGAAGGGATGGTCCAGAGCAGGGGGAGGATTCTGCTGGGCAGGGCTGCTTCTCTGTTGGAAAGCAGGGGGTCAGCTCCAGCCATTCTGGTACAGGTCTGTACACCTGCATATCTCCTGCCTACCCCTGAGAGGCCGTGCAGATGGTATATGGAAAAATGCGATTCCACATGCTGTAAAAATAACTGCTGCTCTGCAATGGGTCTGTGAGAAAGCCAAGTATGTTCAGCACATACAATCCAAATTTTCAAGCATGCAGTGGACTATTTCTTGAAGAGACTCTCACCAAAATCCATGTACCACGCTCCAATTTAGTCCGTTACTGCTCTATTATGGGTGAGCATCTGTCCTAAATTTACTTGAATGGCAGATGAAGCACTAAATATGCTTCTTAATGGCTCTGGTTTACGTATGGATGTTTTCAAATGCATTAGTATCCCACTATGAACAGATGGTTCCAGGCTGGCAAATCGTTCCGCTCTGCGCAGAGTTTATATCCTGCTGTGGGCTGCTTTTCTGAGCCTGGTAACAGGAGCTGTGTAAAACCAGAGTCACAGGCCTGGCACCTCCAACCTCCTGAGCTGAGCTTTACAGGTTGGTTGTTTTTTTTTGTTTGTTTTTTTAGGTCCTCAAACACTTTTTTGGGCCAGAAAAGCCTCTTTTCTGTTTTAATCTCAGCCTGTGCACAAGCTGCAGTGCTCTCTGTCTAGTGGGAAGTGCCATTTGATTTGCTACGAGGGCTGCCTGTTCCCTTGGTAGCAGGCTCCCAGGAGAACCAGGAAGAACTGGGACATCTCTGATCCAGCCCCATCCATCCTGTCTTCCCAGAGGTCTGTGCTGTCAGTCCGTCTGTTTCACCAGGCTGCCATGAGGCTCTTTGATTCAGGACAGCTGTCCCTGTTTTGGACAGTGAGTGCTCACAGTTGCCATGCTCACTGGAAGACTGCTGTGCTTGGGGGAGCAGTGCTGATGCCTTTCCAGGCCATGCCTTGTCACAGCCTCTGCCAGTGCCAGTCTGTGTCTTTGCACTGTGGCTACTCATCCTTTCCAGCTAGTTAGTCATCCAGCACATACTTCTTAGACTTACCTGCTGGGATCCTGCTGTTTGACAGGCTTGTGGTGTTTGGGGGTCATAGTGCTTACTACTGAAAGCTCCCATGAGTGTTCAGAGCATTGTGTTTACAGCCCTGAGCCATCGACTCACGTCTCACTGGTACATCATTCGTTTCTGTTTGAGAAACAGATTTGCATGTTGAAGGTTGATCTTAACTTCAGCAAATGGGATCAGGGTGCTTGCTAGAACAAGGTGACCTTTTTTCACTCGTAGCGGTGCCTGTGGTTTCTCTGAAAGGAAAGAATGAACAGATAAGCTTAATGCTGGGAAACAGCTCTTGCACGCTCCTGTTTTCCGGTGCTCATGGGCTGGTTGGTTTCACACCAAACTCTTGAACTTCCCCAAGTTGGCACTCTGGTGCATTTTTTTGTGTCAAGCCTGACGCTTGTTTTGGATGAAACTATTTCTCCTATAGGCAGACCTTACAAGTCCAAGGCTAGCTTGCAGCTTGCAGCAGCAGCATTCCAGCTCTGTGTGCCTGCCATGCTGTCTGGGCTCTGTAGCATCTGGCAGAGAGCTTCCCAGTGATATGAACCCAGAGGTGTTGCTAAGTGCTGTAAGTTCAGCTGACAGAGCAGCAAGGCCAAAGGGACTGTCTGCAGCTTAATGCCCAGTGTGCTCATTACTGGGAGAAGAGAGCTCTGTCTCCCCCAGCACAGGCTTTCACATGATCCCATCTGACTTTTCTGCTGAGTTCATCCTGGTGAGATGCCATAGGGGGCTGAAGGACGGAGAGGAGTGTGCATCTTGTGGAGGGATGTCTGTATTGTTCTTGTGACACATCTCTGCCTTGTTTCCTCAGGAGGGATGCAGGATTACAACTACGTGTGGGCTGACTGCTTTGAGATTACACTGGAGCTGTCCTGCTGCAAATACCCAATGACCTCTGAACTCCAGCAGGAGTGGGAGAACAATCGTGAATCCCTCCTTTCTTTCATTGAGAAGGTAGTGTGAACTGGTGTGGGGACAACACCTGAGAAACCCCTGTGCCCCTGCTGGGCTGGGAGCACTGCATCAGCTGCTCTCGTGGGCTGCATGTGGTAACACAGCTGCTGCAGAGGCTGCGCAGAGGTTGGGGACTACAAAGCTTCTGTGCATCTCTGTGGTTCTGCCACAGTTCCCACATCCTCAGTGATACTGAGCTCCTCCGAAAGGCCTCATGGGGTACAGTGTTACACAGAAGGATTGTGAGTTGCAGATCTCACTACCCATGCATGCGCTGAGTAGGGGACAATTTAGCTTGAGGAGGGAGGCAGCTGTCTTCTGTCCCTTGATATGGCCTGTAACCCTGCTCTGTTCATTATGTTGCGTGCCCATGTTGACAAATGGGAGGATTAGCTAGGGAGGATCAGTTTTGAGAAGCTGCTGCATGCTGAATTTCCTGTCCTTGCTCCCAGGCCATGCACTGTCTAAATCATGGGCCCTTGTTTGTCTTTGCCTGGCAGCTGTCCTGCTCTGTGCATGTGGGACAGGAGAGGGTGGTATCGCTGGTGAGGACGCTGTTGACCTGTCTTCAGCTGGAGCCTTATGTTGTTTTCCTCAGGTCCACATTGGAGTGAAAGGTTTTGTCAGGGATGCAGTCACCAAGGCTGGTTTGGAGAATGCAACCATTGTTGTTGCTGGCATTGCTCATAACATCACAGCAGGCAGATATGGTGACTTCCACCGGCTGCTGGTGCCTGGGACCTACAACGTGACCGCCGTTGTGATGGGGTAATGTCTCCATGATGCTGCCTACTGCTTGTGTTACTTTACTTGATTTCTTCCCCCTGAGCATGTTGTGTATTTTAGGGGCTTGGCTGGAAGCTGCAGCAGGAAAGGTTTCCTGCAATGGATTAGAGCTGCAGCTGTGTTTGTTCACCCCTGCCCTGCTGTGGTGGGGAGCTGCTGGATGCACAGCACTTCTTCCTCCTTCATTTGCTTGTATCAACCTGCATCTTACTTATGGGCAAAAGGAGAAAGTGCAGTAGGTCATCCCAGTAAGGGTTTGCCTCACATTTGGGGGTAAATGTGTTGCTTGCTGCTGGCTAGCCCTGTGCTGCACCTGTGGCTTCTTCCCTGGAGAGTCCATAAACAGGAACTCACGCCTCTGACACAGCAAAGGGCAGCAGCAGGGTTGGATTTGGAGGCAGGGGGATGAGCCCCATCAGCTTGTTTAGCTGGTGAATCTCTCACATAGTTATTAACATATGAGTGTGCTCTGACTGGGAAGAGGAGGATGGGAAAACCTGCAAAGGCTTTGGCCTCCATTCTGCAGAGCTCCTTGCTGAAGCCTGCTTTTTTTTTTTTTTCTTACAGTTACACACCACTGACCAGAGAAAACATTGAGGTGAAGGAGGGAGATGCAACAGAAGTGGATTTCTTCTTGCAACCGACTGCGATGGCTCCCAACCTCACACAGCTCACAGCAACACCTGCTCCTGCTTCTACCATTGCCTCCACCGTGGTGCAGGCCGAAGCCCCGAGCCCAACCTCTCTCCATCAGCCCATCCAACCTGTGGACTTCCGCCACCACCACTTCTCAGATATGGAGATCTTTCTGCGGCGCTACGCCAACGAGTTCCCCAACATCACCCGGCTGTACTCCGCGGGCAAGTCGGTGGAGCTGCGGGAGCTCTACGTGATGGAGATCTCAGACAACCCTGGTGTCCACGAAGCAGGTAATGTGGGAGAGCAAAACACTTTCTTTCTTGCAAAACACAAATCGAGTGGTAGACCTTTAGCTTTGGGAGACTGTGGGCAGAGCGAAAAGGAAATGTAGAGCTGGCATCTGAAAAGAGGCTGAGCTCCTCCTCTTTAGAAAGACCAGGTGCAGTGAGTGGATGATGCTTGGGTGAGTTAAAGAGCATTCCTAGAGAAATTTACCTGAGTAGGTGGGACTCTGGGGTCAGAAAGACCAAGCACCCTCCTTGCACTAGTATTCGTCCTCTTGGTGTTGTGAGAGCAGAAGGATACGTATTAGGTAAATGCCCTCTGGCCTGGAGAAAGGTCTGAGTGATGTGCTTGTGGTGGTGAGATGTCTCCAAGCTTTAATATAGCAGTCATGATTATCTCTTTGGCATGGCTGTGTGTCTGCAGGTGAGCCAGAGTTCAAGTATATTGGTAACATGCACGGGAATGAAGTTGTGGGGCGAGAGCTGCTGCTGAACCTCATCGAGTACCTCTGCAAGAACTTCGGCACAGATCCTGAAGTGACTGACTTGGTCCGGAGCACACGGATCCACATCATGCCATCCATGAACCCAGATGGCTATGAGAAGTCCCAGGAAGGTAATGCTGCCCGTGCTGAAACCCCTGTGAGATTTCTAGCTCTGAGAATGAGACCCGTGGTTTGTCATACCTCTGGGAAGTCTGGAAGCATTCTGCTGGGGCTGAAGTGCTGTCGACACAGGGGGGATGGGAAGGGACTGGTGTGTGCAGTGGAATGAGGGGGTGGACCCACCACTGCAGGAAGTGGGTGGCTGACTGATGCCTGAAGTGGTTGGAAAGAGCTCTTATGCTTGGGCAGTGCTATATATGCTACCCCTGTTTGGGTCCCCTTATGGTTTGTGGCTATCCCAAGGCTTATTTAAAAACAAAAAAAGACATTCCTTTTACACAGCTCATACTTGCTATGCTTTGGTCCATGCTTTTAGTAACATGTGATGTGGGAGCCAGGCAGTCTGCAGAGCACTAGTCCAAGGGTAATACAGGCTTTTATTGTGGTGTTGAAATTGGCAAAAACATTCAAGGAAGTCCTTCAAACTGCGTGGTTTTTGTAGATTGGCCCAACAAAGTTTGTCCAGAACAATTTTCTGGAAGTAGAGCTCTGCTTGTGTTTAACACAGTGCTTGTCCAGCTGGTTTGAGAAGGTCTGGGATTCTGTGGTCATGACAGCAGCTGCTGGGATTGTTCATGGTTCAGTGTCTTTCTGCCAGCTGAGGCCTGACTGGCACTGACAGGGTCCCCAGACACCTTATGCACTCCTGCTGGAGGAAGGTTGATGTCCTGTCGTTCTGGGGTGCTGGGAGCCTGCATTGTTGTGTTCCCTGCTGTTTTCCACTGATCAACAGTATGAAGCTCTTCAGCAAGAGGACACTGCCTCCACAGCAAAATGGGAAATTGCATAGGGTTCAAACCTGAACTTGTGTTTATTTTTCAGGAGACAGAGGAGGAACCGTTGGCAGAAACAACAGCAACAACTACGACCTGAACCGGAACTTCCCAGATCAGTTCTTCCAGGTGGCAGACCCTCCACAGCCTGAAACTCTGGCTGTCATGAGCTGGCTGAAGACTTACCCATTCGTGCTTTCAGCAAACCTGCACGGAGGTACATCAGCTACACCAGGCTGCTTTCTCACTGCTGAGGTTTGAGGATGGAGAATGCAGGAATATCTCTGCTGTGTTTATGGCATGGATTGAGGAACACTGCTGTGAAACAGCAGGAGCAAAAGCAGCTGGGTTCCTGTACTGGGGATGGTAGAAAAAGGGGAAACCAAATCTACTGTTACTTGGTTGGAGGTTGCGCTTCTGGTAGATGGATCAGAAGCTGAAAGCCATGTCCCCAAGCACACATGTAAGCAGTTGAAGAGGCTGCTGGGAGGAGCACAGCCACTTTTCTGAAGGAAGCACACGCACAGGATAGCAGCTGGCATGTTGCCTGTGAAGTGATGGGGCAGTTGGGATGGACTCCCCTGTCAGCAGCTGCTCAGTGGCTGGTTCTGTGAGTGTGGCGGTGCAATGGCTGTCAGAGGCTTCATAGTATTTATAAATTGAGGACAAAACGATGTAATCCTGAGGGTTCCCTGCCTCAAATCGCACGGCAGAACGATGAAATTTGCTGCAATTTAATTATCTTTTTAGAGTGATCTAAATGAAGTCTTTGCATTACAGCTTATTCCCTAGACGCTTTGTCTGCTGGCTTGGGGCTGTGGTGACTTGCAGGTGTTTCTCTGTGCTAGCATGTTTAATTCTGTAGTGCAGAAGTACAGTGTGTGGGTGAGAGGGAGCTGGCTGTTCTCCAGCAGCAGCACTGTCTGTGTCCCACAGTGCCATTAACACAGCTTGCTTAGGGAAAGTTTCAGCCAGCCAGAGCTGTCATAGTCTGCCTGTCCTTGTAGTAAGCTCCAGAAGGCTGACAAGCTGCAGCAATTGGGCCAGGGGCACCGGGAGTGTTTTAGGAAATTTCCTTTCTGTTCGCTCCTTTGGGAAAGTGATTATTAGCAGGCTGTGCCCATCCCTCCAGAATGTAAGGGCACAGCTTTGACGTGTCGTGATTGGGGTTTGCCTTTCTTATTGGATGCTGTCTCATCTTTTCCTGTGCTTTTGTTGTCTCTTCGGTTCACTGTGCCTAATGCTATGTTTATAGCCAAGGCTTGAGAGCTTGGTCCTGACACTCCCAAAATAAAAGAAAAGTTTCTTCTGTTAGGCTGAGGACTCCATTGAAAAGCATGCAAGTCAGAGTCAAATCTCATTTCCCCTGCAGGTTCTTTGGTGGTTAATTACCCCTATGATGACGATGAACAAGGAATGGCCATATACAGCAAATCCCCAGATGATGCTGTGTTTCAGCAGCTGGCGCTTTCCTACTCCAAGGTAAAGCTCTAAAATGGGAAATCCCATCTGCCAGGATAGTTCCTGATGCTATCATGAGCTCTCTGAGTGTGTGGTAGGGGAGCTAGTCTGTTAGAACAGAAGTGCCAGTGGCTATAAAGAGCAGACTCAGCTTCACATGTTGCATCTTGTTTTTCAGGAAAATAAAAAGATGTATCAGGGAAGCCCGTGTAAGGATATGTACCCCAACGAGTACTTCCCACATGGCATCACAAATGGGGCCCAGTGGTACAATGTTCCAGGTGAAGTCATCCTGAAGTCTCTTGCAGTGTTTCTTTCCAAATTAACACGTGTGCAGCTGAAAGAATTTAGTCTGATCAGTCACAGACTTTGCATCTCTCAACCCAGATTCCTGGGGCTTGGATTTCTTTTGTAACCTCTTCAGTAATGTACCCAGGTTAAGTCATTCCGGAGGGGAGGAATTTATGGTGTGGTGTTTCTGGTTACCAGCAGCATAATGGACATGAAAGGCATTTACAAGGAGGGTGGTTATTTGTCTGCAGTGTTGACAACCCCCTGAAGCTTGAATCTTGCCCCATGTTAAAAGCCTTTTCACCTTTGGTATTAATTGCATGTAGTAGTTAGTATTTAATCTGTCTAGTATCTGATTTATTATTTTTTTTAAATATTTTTTCTTTGAGTTATGTTACTGCTTTCTTCAGAAGGTCATATCAAAACCTCTTTTACATTCCTGTTGTAGGTGGGATGCAAGACTGGAATTACTTAAACACAAACTGCTTTGAAGTGACCATTGAGTTGGGCTGTGTGAAATACCCAAACGCAGAGGAGCTCCCAAGGTACTGGGAGCAGAACCGCAGGTCCCTCCTGCAGTTCATGAAACAGGTGAGACACTTTGACCCCAAAAGATGGTGAGAGCTGCCTCTTAGGCCTGGATTGGAGGTGCTGGAATAAACAGGCTGATCTGCACACTGCAGTGAGTGCTGCTTCCTGGCCAGACCAGGTCCCTGCTCCACAGCAATCCTTCCCATTTGAACATGCATTGATTTCCTCTTCTCCCCTCCTTAGCATGCCAAAAAGCTGTATGGAAGCAGCAGCCAGGTGATGCAGGTGGGGGCATTTCATTTCCCAATAGCTCAGTTTTCCCTTGGCTAGAGTGTCCCTTTTGTGCTGTTTCCATCTGGCTCGTGGCTGCTGGCAGCACGGTGCAGCTGAGGCAAGCAAACAAAGGTGTGGGGCAGAGCGTACCGTCATGGCATCGTGAGACAAACAATTGCCCATTCGTTGTACTCGTGTGACCTTTGTCCATGCCAGTTTCGCCTGAACCCTTTTGGGACGTGTTGCTCCTCCGGGAGCCCTGGGAGCTCTGCATGTCAGCACTCCCACAGCGCTGTGTGTTGGAGGGCTGAGTTGGAGCTCTCTGGGTCTGTTCCAGGTTCACCGTGGGGTCTGGGGCTTTGTGCTGGATGCCACGGATGGAAGGGGCATTCTCAATGCCACCATCAGCGTCGCTGAGATCAACCACCCAGTGACCACCTACAATGATGGAGACTACTGGCGCCTCTTGGTGCAGGGGACGTACAAAATCACAGCATCTGCACGAGGGTGAGCGAGCCGTGGTGCACGGGATGGGCGCTGCACAATTGCCACAGTGCTCTCCTGGCTTCTTAGTCAAGAACTGACAAAGCTGTGCTACCCTGATGTCAGGACTGTTCGGTGACAGTGTAGAGTCCAAATCTTCCCTCGTTTGGAGGTGGTGTGGGGAAGCAGTTGATAACTGGGTGTTTTTAAGGGAAAAAAAGCTACCTGCAGAAATGACTTCAACGGCTGCCAAAACCTTGTTCTTTGGGTTCTTGGGTTAAAGCTGCCTGACCTGTCATCCTCCCTGCTTGCCACGTAACCCTGCAATCCCAGCTCCTGAGCTGCTCCCTGCCCTGCTGTTCCCATGCCCTTTTGAAGAGTTTTTTTTCTTTTTGTATTTGTGCCTCTTGCTTCCTTTGGCTGGAGAGCAGCAGAAGTCTTGTGCTGAGTATCTGGGCAGGAGGGGGGGTGGTTCGGTGTGCAAGGCCTCAACTCCTGATGTTTCCTTGTCCCTTCTCTTCCCTGGGCAGGTACAATCCTGTCACTAAGATGGTGACAGTTGACAGCGAAGATGCGGTGCAAGTCAACTTCACTCTTAAACGGACAGATGCCAAAGTGGAGGAGGGGAAGGTGCCAGTCCTGAATATCCCAGACACCAGCGACCCCAATGAGAAGGAGTTTGAGACTCTGATCAAGGATCTCTCTGCTGAGAATGGTGTGGAACACCTCCTGCTTTCCTCCTCAGGGAAAGTCTCTCCTTATCGATACCGCCCTTACAAGGACCTCTCCGAGTTCCTCCGAGGCCTCTACCTGAACTACCCACACATCACAAATCTCTCCAGGTGAAAACTCCAAGCAGCAGTGCTCAGCTCCTCCATGAGCAGCAACCTGTGGCAGAGAAGCAGTGCAGTGATGAGCTGTGAATGTGATACAGAGATGGGGGGAGCTTGTTCCTGTCCTTCCCTGTGGTGCATGAGCTCAGAGGAGCCCCAGATGTAAGGGCACGGTGGCAGAGCATTGGCTGCAGGGACCCACAGACACATCCACGTGCTTTTTCCTGAGACCTCATTTTACTGACTGAAACCTGGGGTGCAGTTAGCTGCCCTGGGTGCCTTACATTGATATTCCCAGTGTTGAGATGCCAGGTTTCTGCAGACATATATTTCACACACTTTATTCCCTCTATTTTCCAAATCCTGTCTGACATCTAAGCTGTACAAGTGGACAAAATATGGCTTAGGAATCTTAGAATTGTAGAGTATTCTGGGTTGGAAGGGACCCATGAGGATCATAAATCCAATGGCATTTTTTTTCAATTATCTCCTTTCAACTTTTAATTTAATATTGTGAGATGTATTTGAGGTAATGCCCTGAGCCAAGGTCTCTGCCCTCCTGCAGGAGCTGCCTTGTAGTCCTTTGCTCTCCCTTGTGACCTGTAGCTGTTACCCTCTGTCAACTTCAGAAAGCACAAATCCGTCCTCTTTGTCCTAGGGCCCTGGTTGCTTGTTGTCACCAGGCACAGTGTGCTCATGTGCTGTCCGTGCTGGTGCCAAGGCTGCCGTTCTGATCTGTAGCCTCTATTGTCCTTCCAGTTGCATCAGCCCTGATTGTGTTCCCTGCTTTGCTTGCATTCAGTTTGCTAACTTAATGGCACGACTGTAGCAACAAGTTCTGCACTGCTGGAAATACGCCTGCTTTTGTCCTCTGAACTGGGTGCTTTATGGATTAGTTTGATCTCTGGATGTATCCTGCACTCATTAGAGAGGAGAAAAAAAGTCCAAAGCAAACAAACCCACTTTGGAAGCATGGAGGCATTTAGCCATTCCTTCCACACTTACTGTGATGTATTAGGCTATATAGAGATGCATGGAGCATTGAGTGTTCTGTGCATCTCTACCTGGATGCTTGGATGTGGCTGTGTGTTCTGTGCCACTTGTCTCAGTAGCCTGCTTATGGAAGGAGGCAGCATTCCCTTCCACACCAGGGTTTCTCCATAAGGCCAAGCTCTGTTCCTGAGCTGACACTCTGCTCTCTTCTCTCTTGGCAGCCTGGGTCAGAGCGTTGAGTTCCGTCAGATTTGGTCCCTTGAAATCTCCAACAAACCCAACCAGTCTGAGCCTGAGGAGCCCAAGATCCGCTTTGTTGCTGGGATTCATGGGAACGCTCCTGTTGGTACCGAGCTGCTCCTGACACTGGCAGAATTTCTTTGCATGAACTACAAGAAGAACGCTGCTGTTACAAAGGTGAGGAGCTGTGCTACAAGGGACCGTCTTGGAGCCCTCCAGTTGTATCTTGAGAAGGCAGCACTCATCAGGAGAGACTTGTCTTGTTTTGGCCTGTAGATCCCATGCACACAGGAGGGGTATTAAGAGATCTGTGGGGCTGGTAGGAACCTGTGACTCATGAAATCAATGGAAGCAGCTATTCCTAGGAAAAGATTGAGGCAAAGGAAATGTACAGAGATGTACAGAGAACAAACCCTGTTAATTGTACTGATGTGTTGTTTCCTTCCTGCCTTATTCAGCTGATTGACCGAACACGGATTGTGATTGTGCCATCCCTGAACCCAGACGGACGTGAGATAGCACAGGAGAGGGGCTGCACCTCCAAGATAGGCCAGACTAATGCCCATGGCAAAGATCTGGACACAGACTTCACAGGTAAAGCTAACTGATGCAAACTGATGGTGTCCCACAGAAATGCAGGCTGCAGTAGAAGTCTCCTGCTGGCTGGCCTCTCTAGGGTTGGAGGTACTTGTCTGATTGTGGGGTCCTTCTGTAATAGAGGGCAGTGCTCCTGCCTCAGAGCTGAAGTAGCACAGCTGCTGGGAAACATCCAAAGCTTGAATTCTCCTTAGAGACTGTAATTTGCAGGCCTTTGTAGGGAAAGGAGAAGACAAAGCAGAGCTCTTTAGGAACAGTCCAGTGATCATACAGTATTTTTTCCTGTTAATTGATTTCTCTCAGTGCTATTCTGAAAAGCATTCTCTGTTCTTGCTCCTTGGAAACAGTTTCCTTTTTTCATTCTTTTAACTGCCTGGTATATCCAGCTCTGTACCAGTGCTATGCCCACCTTTCCTGGAGAGGAAGTGTTCTCTCTGGCCACCTTTGGGCTGGAATCATCCCAAGTGCTTTCTTTGGAGTCAGTTCAGGGGCAATGAAGAAAGCAAACACACATGAAACACCCTCTGCATCACAAAAGTAAATAGATTGGGAAAACAGTGATGTGTCACATTTGTTAAACTTCGCAGATGAATTCCACCCATGAGCAGTGTGGATGAGGTGCTTTATTTAATCTTTCAGAAGCAATTTGCTGAGATCTTGCAAATATATTTTCAGGCAGATCATTTCAGCCATAAAGAAGATATTTCTTCTTTATATAAGTGAAATATAAAAGAAGTGAAATATAAAGAAGATATTTCTTCTTTATATTTCTGCAAGCTTCCCAAATAGCAGAGAAAATTATCATCAATCCTTTTTCCTATTTGTTGTTCTTATTTACAGGCAATTACTCCAGGTATTCAGGAACACAAGAGCCTGAGACCAAAGCCATAGAGAACTTGATATTGAAGCAAGACTTCAGCCTCTCTGTTGCACTAGATGGTGGATCTTTGCTTGTCACTTATCCCTATGATAAGCCAGTGCAGACAGGTATGACTGACTCTTCCAGGGTCTTCAATGCAGTTAGACTCTGGCTAGTCACGTGGCTGCATGGTGTAAGAGCTTGTCCATTTCTTGGTGATTTTGTGCTGATGGTTTGCTGTAGCCTCCTTTGGGGTTTAATCCCTTGGTTCTGGAGAACTGCTGGCAGACTGTAAAGCAAAGCTCAGCACCCTCACAGGATTCAGCTTGGGGTCAGAACATTTACTGTTCCTGTTTTCAGAACAATATTTCAGTTTTTCCTCTGTGTGTGATACCACCCCTCGATGTAAGAAGAAATCTGAAATCCCCCTGAAGCAATGTGTGTGACTTTTATATAGGATCATGGGATTAGAATAAGAATATCTTCCCCCACTCAATAGGAGCTGCACTCCCTATGTCTCACCTTTCTATTTGTAGTGGAGAACAAAGAAACACTGAAGCATTTGGCATCTGTATATGCAAACAACCATCCATCGATGCATTTAGGCCAGCCAGGCTGTCCAAATAAGTCCGGTAGGTTTGGTTCAATCCTTTAAACCCCTGACCACTTGTGCTGGGTTATACTAGGAGCAGATCAGTCTGATTGCTGTGTTCTTACTCTCACAGATGAGAATGTTCCTGGGGGTGTGATCCGTGGCTCTGAATGGCACAGCCACCTGGGAAGTATGAAGGTACTTCATCTCATCACGACGCTTTCCTTCCTTGCAGATATGTCTTTAAATTTGGGCAAAACCTCAACCATCTTCAGCTGCACTCTGGGAAACCTTTTAAATGCTGTCTCTTGTAACTGTGGTGGTTTTGTTTCAGGATTTCAGCGTTACATTTGGTCACTGTCCTGAGATCACTGTTTATACCAGCTGCTGTTACTTCCCCAGCGCGGGGCAGCTCCCTGGCCTGTGGGCAGAGCACAGTAGGTCTCTCCTTAGCATGCTCGTGGAGGTGAGCAATGGTCTGGGGGGAGAAATTCTTGCTGGGAGTGAAGGTGGTGGGATGGATGAGTTACTTTCTAGTGGGCTGAGCAGCCCTTGTAGTATAATATCCTCTTATTTCTTAAGGGAGAAGGGAGGTGTCATGGTGGGGTGATGGTTAAGGTTGCTGAAGAACATGCTGAATTTTAAGGGGAGACTAGATCCTGTTTTAGTTAAAAAATATGCCTTACACTTGGACTGCAACATGAGGCATTTGAAATGCTTTGTTTTGTTTCAGGTTCACAAGGGAGTCCATGGATTTGTCCAAGACAAGAGTGGCAAGGCAATTTCTAAAGCTGTCATTGTTCTTAATGAAAGTTTGAGGGTTTGTACTAAAGAAGGTGGCTATTTCCATGTGCTGTTGGCTCCTGGTTTGCATAACATCAATGCTATAGCTGATGGGTATCAACAGAAGCATATGCAGGTATGTGAATATCTGTTGGAGTTCTCCTCCCTTGCTTTCATATTTAGGCATCCATCCCTAACTGCTCTTACCTGGGCTGTACTTTGTTGGCTGTGTTTACCTTCTGGTACATTAGTTGTCTTCTGCCTTGTTATAATGGAGAAGAATTTCTGAACACAGCAGAGTTTTTCTGGGCAACAGTTTTTCCCTACACTGCGTTTATCTTTGGTATCTGCCTGGTTCTGCCCTGGGCAGCAGATGTCTTTTTTTTCTTTAGACACCTACCAGATCTGTAAACAGTGAGACAGACTGAGTTCTTGTATCTTTCCATAGGTCTTGGTACGCCATGATGCACCCAGCTCTGTGTTCATTGTATTTGACATGGAAAACAAGATATTTGGTCTGCCACGGGAGCTGGTTGTAACGGTTGCAGGTAAAGTGATAGCTTCATTCAAAGCTTTGAGACTCGTTTTCTGGGCTGGTTCATTCTGACATCTTTTTTTTTTTTTTTTAACTGAATTGGAAGACTAGCATTCAGCATTGAGTTTTTCCTCCTGTTTTCCCTTCTGAACACATGCTTGGCCCTGCAGACTGGTCCAACAGCCTTTGGCTCTAGTGATGCTGGGCTAGCAGATAAGAAGGAGAGAGGAAATGGAGAATGTTGTAGGGATCTGAAAGATCCTGAATGGACCTTGAGATGGCTAGAAGGGGAAGAGCCTGTATGTGCATAGGGCTGGGACCTAGCAGGTCTTACATTTTCCCCACTGGGCAAGCACTAAGGAATTTATATATGTTTGTCATTGTGGCTGCTGCTGGGGAGGCTGGGGTTTATTCCCAGTGTACTGCAGAGGAGCTCACTGATGTTATCTTAAATTGCTAGCCCAGAAAATCTGGTGCTTCTCTACTGTGACTGAGTTCCTTCCTCTAAGGCACAGAAGTGAGGAAAGTGGCTGTGATTGTGTAAGAGAGGATTGATACTGGAAAATGTGGAAGCCTCTGAGGTGGGGAACATAGAATTAAATTCAGTATCTTCTCTCTGGCAGGTGCAAGTATGTCTGCTCTGATCCTCACTGCCTGTATCATCTGGTGTGTCTGCTCAATTAAGTCCAACAGACACAAGGATGGCTTCCACCGCCTGCGGCAGCACCACGACGATTATGAGGATGAAATCCGCATGATGTCCACTGGCTCAAAGAAGTCCCTCTTGAGCCACGAATTCCAGGATGAAACAGACACTGAAGAAGAAACATTATACTCCAGCAAACACTGACACCTCTCTGACAGGAAAGGAAATTTCCCTGGACTAGCCCCAGTGGGAGGGAGGGGTGATCCCTCTGGATCATTTTTGAAACATTAACTTGCAGGACTGTGTTTGAGTGGCAGCTCCTGACTTCCTTCTGCTGTTTGCTCTGTTCCTATGTACATGCAAATCAGTGGGTGTTAGAGGCTGTGTTTGGGTTAAGGGCATGGTTTACGTTTTTAGGGCAAGGTCTGAAGGTTCACATGATGCTGACTGAAAGGTGATGTAGCAGGTTGGCCAGCAGAGTTCCTAACACTTCCCCAGCATCTCAACACAGTGAGCAGATGATGGGGAAGTGTCCCAAGACCTGTGTAGGGTCATAGTCACAACACTCTGAAGTGGTATCTACTTGTTTTGATTTCATTTTTCTTACTGTACGTGGTGGAAGCCTTGATCCATCACCAACTCCTTTCTGCAGAGCAGCCCTTGGAAACAGCCTGTACTTGCTTCTCAGCTGCTCCCTTGGAGCTTTTCCCTACCTTGAGATGCTGTGCTCAGCCACACTCTGCAATGGTTGTGGAGCACCTCTAATGTGTTGCTTGTTCCAAGCAGTGATTTGGCATCCTGAGGGCTGGGGGAGATACATCAATTCTTGGTGTGAACTGGAGGAAGGAGCAAATGTCAGAACTCTGACCAAGTTCAGCAGCTTGTCAGCTCTGCAGAACTGCTGTTCCTGGTTCTGGGGAAGAAAATTTCTGTCCCCGTGAATCCCTGGTTGCATCTCATTTATGTGGACTTGGCTTTTGGAGTCTCATGTTAGTGTTGCAGCAGTGCAGTGTCTGAAAGCACAACTGGAGGTTGTTCTGAGCATTATTGGAGTAGCAGAGAGAGGGTATCCATGGCCTGACTTTGGTCTTGACTTTTGAAGAGCAGCTGCACCCTCTGCTGTTGTCCATTTAATACCACTTAGTGATCAGAGCACTTGGAAAACAATCTCTCATCAAGCTCTGGTGATGCTAGGCACCAAATTAGCCTGCTGGCCTAACTTAGTTCTGCTACTACAGTGTCCCTGAAGTATGTAGCAAGAGCTCCACCTGCTTGTACGTCTGCAGTGTGCTGTGGAGGCCTGAGTGCAAGGCGCGAGGAAGGGCTGAGTGGCTGTGCTGGAGGGAAAAGCAGCCAAATTCTCTTCTGGAGCACTTAAGTAATTGGAAAGAGGAGCTGCAGTGTGCATCCTGAAGCTGCATTGAGTTTGTGGGGCAGCGAAGAGGTGCCCAGAAGGGCAGGATGCCCAAGACATTTGATTTCCAAAGCCTTCATATATTTCTGAAGTTCTCGTGCTTTCTGGGCAGAAGTCTGGGGTTAGAATGTAGGCACTTGTTTCCTTGCTGCTCGTTCTTTTTTGTTTATTTCTTATACCCAACGGACCGAACTCTGCAGTGCCTGGAGCACTCACTGCCTTGGATATCCAGCGTACCCTGATCTGCCTCCAGCAGGCCAGGGAGGTCTGCTCTTGAGATGTGCATGGGGCAGTGCTGAGCGTTTGCACCCAAATGTGTGATGAGGGCTCTGGAGGAACAGCGCAGTAAATTCCCTGTCCCAGGCTGCTGGTCCCAATTTTGCAAGGAACCCACGGGTGGTAGATGCCTCTCCAGAGCCACGGGGCTGTGGCTGTGCCGAAGGTTTTGGCAGCTGCCTGGAAGGGTGAAGATGACCCTTGGGTGGCCGCAGACCTTCTTCCCTCATCTGTGGTGTTGGTATAAGGGCAAGAAGCACACGGTGAGATCTGGCTGGAGCAGCGCTCTGGGAACAGGGAGGTGATCATCCACACTGCTATCCTGCATCGCTGAGGTGTGAATGAACCCCTCGGTGCCTCTGCCCTGCAGAGCCCACGCGGGGTCCCAGCTCCCTGCTGGGTTTGGTGCTGGACTGTGACTTAAGCAGCTCCTGGAGCGCCGCGTGGGCAGCAGAGCCGTCCCCAGCAATAAGTCCTTGGGAACCAACACACGGGAGGTGAGCGGGGCTGATGGGGCCGATGGTTCTGTAGCCGTGTGAGACTCCTCTGTGCCGCAGTGGTGCTCAGCGTGCCGAGGAGCCCATCCGTCCTTCTGTCCGTCCGTCTCTCTGTGGAAGCGTCCGCCTCACGCGCACTGTGCCTTCGCTGTACGTTTCCACGAGGACCTCGAAGCGCCCTTCCCCGGGAGGCAAGGGCCGGCGCTGCCCCGCACTGGGCCCTCGGGTCGTTTTTTACCTGTATACCAATAACCTGTATAAAACTATTTTGATGTCCGCCCGCCTTCTCTCGTTCTTCGCCCTCTCGACGTCGCGGGGACGGGGGCGTGCGGTGCTCTGCGCCTCCCATCCGCTGGGGGGCGCTACGTTGGGAGGTCCGGCCGTCCCGTCGGGCACCGCGCTCGAAGGGAGACGCTCTAGGCAGGAGTTCTCGGCAGGCGGCGGCTGACGTTGGACAACAAAGATGGCGGCGGGGAGCAGCAACTACTGGGAAGGCGAGTGGGGCCGGGGCGGCGCGGGGCGCTCCCGGGACACGAGACGGGCAGGGCGAGGCCTCCGCCGGGTCCCCTCTGCCCGCTCGCGGCTGGAGGGTGCGGTGTTCTCGTCGGCCGCTCAGCCGTGAGGCGCCGGTGCCCGGCTGAGCCCCGCGGCGGGGAGGCCCCGGGCCGTGTGGGGCGCGGCCTGCGGGCCCTCAGCCCCCGTCCTCCTCATCCGCCCCCTGGGGCCGCATCTGTGTGAGGGCTCCGCGGGGCTCCCCGGGCGGCCTGGGGCTGTGTGTGACTCCCCTCGCACCCCCTTCCGTGCAGATCTCAGGAAGCAGGCGAGGCAGTTGGAGAACGAGCTGGACCTGAAGCTGGTCTCCTTCAGCAAGCTCTGCACCAGCAGCCGGGACGGGCGGCGCGACAGGTATAGGTACTAACACGTTTCTTTACGTTTTACTTTGCTCTTTGCAGCGTTTGGTTCGTGTCTGTGGTTTGCTTAATGCTGGTCCCCACTACCACCTGCGGCACAGTTGCTTAAGAAGCTTACTTTGTGGTGCTGGTGTTAGGCTCTGGGAAATGTCTCTTTCAGGTGCTGGCATCGATGCACAGGTGTGTGTGCCACCTGTGAGAGCACGCAGGGCAATGGGGGAAGCTGTATTTAAACTTCAGTTTGTAATTCATGGGATCAGCACAGCTTGGGTCAGAAGGGTCCTTAAAGGTCGAGTTCCAGCCTTCCTGCTGTGAACAGGGCTGCCACTCAATTATGGGGGGAAGTGTGTGAGGGAAGGGTACGGCTTCCTCAGTGCACAGTACAGCTGCCTACATTGTTTGCTGCTTCTTCCTGCATTACAGTTCTCAGGGACTTCAGTAAATGCTTTGTGCTCAGGCACTTCCACAGTGGGTGGCTGTGGTGCTGGTGGTCCTGTGCAGGAATGAGGGAACTGTGGTGTGGGGCTGTGTTGACCAGCCCAAGGAGAACACCAACGGAGTGGGGAAGCGAAGCAGTCAGTCTGTGGCAGTCCCTTCCCAAGGGGTGGCTGTTATTTCTGGTTTCCTTTAAGGTAAGCTGTAGTAGGGAGAGCTATATATATGTGTTTGTACGTATACATAACAGTTTGTTTGAGGAAATTGTTTATTTAGGCAGATTTGTATTTGACTGAAGGATTAATATGACAAAACTCACCAACTCTTTCTAGCTTAAGGACTAGATCTGAGGCCTTTCTGCAGTTCCATAGCACCTGGCTATCAGCTTCTTTGTCCCTGTGTGCAGTCTTTAAAAAATGCCATTCCTTGCCTGCTAATCCTGGATCCCCATATTGCACATCAGTTATGAGAGTGATTACTGCTTGTATGTGTGTTGATTTTAGTTCTTTTTCAAATCAGTGTTTACTTTTTATCTTTCTCAAGTTATGTCTTGATACGTACAAACCTGTGTATCCTACGGTCTTGTGTGCTTTTTGTCTTTTGACTAAAAGTTGCTTTCATTACCAATTTCATTGCCCGTTCCTTTGAAATTTAAGAATGTTTCTTGGCTTCCTGCATTTGGGTTAGGTATAAAGTTTCTGGAGGGTGAAATGATTTTTTGAATCTTTCACTGAATTTCTGTTCTGGAAGCCTGAGAGCAACTCAGGAATAATCACGTTGCTCTTGAGTCAGATTCTCTCTCTTAACTCTGGTATATATAACTTGCTGTTTGTTCTAATTATCTTACTTAGTTTTGCTATCCTGCACAAAATGTTCTGATCTTGCTCTGGTTGTGGAGATAATCATTTGTTTGGTGTCATTTCTTTGGTGTATCTTCCAAGGGGAGGTGCTGTTTTCCACAAGTGATACAGGTTGTTGTATGTTCTAGTAACTTGCTTTCTTCTTCCTTAGCTCTGACACCACTCCTCTCTTAAATGGGTCGAGTCAGGACAGAATGTTTGAGACCATGGCTGTGGAGATTGAACAGCTTCTGGGAAAGGTAATACACAAATTACTGATTTTTACATCAGCATTTTGAAGTATTACAGTACAGCTTTCTGTGATGAGTGTTCAGAAATTAATAGCATGGGTGGTAAAAAAGTGTTTCTGGAGGCACGCATCTGATATAAGGGAAAGCTCTTTCACCTTATACATTGTGCATTTCCTACAATAATAAACCATTTCAGGTTGGTTTTGTTTTTGTGTGGTTTGTTTTTCCCCTACAGCTTACTGGAATAAATGACAAAATGGCAGAATATACAAACAGTGCAGGAGTCCCATCCCTGAATGCTGCACTGATGCACACATTACAGCGTCACAGAGACATCCTGCAGGTAACAAGCACGTGTTCCTCTTGTGTTTTATTTCTTTGGAGTAATTATTAGTATTACTAGCAGCTTGCTCAGGCACACTCCAGATGCCTGTTGGCTGGGAGAAGGCTCTGTGAGTGCCCAATATGAAAGAAACAACAAATCTGATCTATTGAAAAAAATCTTTCCTCGCATGTGCTGCAAGCACAGGATCTGAAAACATTCTTACAAACTTCTCCAGATGAGGTCAGGGTTTCAAAAACTTCACGTGCACTTTGAATATGATGTGAATTTAATAAGTTGGTCTTAGCTGTTCTGCAGCAAAAAGGCTAACATGTGACAGAGATGACAAGATTTGAGTGTCTTGCTTTGGTAACTTGATCTCAGGACTCTAACTTTGGAGTGATTGTTTTATTGCAGGATTATACTCACGAATTCCACAAAACCAAAGCGAACTTCTTGGCAATAAGAGAAAGGGAGAATCTGTTGGGATCAGTACGAAAAGATATTGAGTAAGTTGCATTGTGTATTGCAGCAGTGTTGTGGGAGTGTGCCAGAGGGGAGAAGGCAGCACGTCCTGTAGGAGTGTGCTTGGCTCAGGTTAATCCTCTGCACTCTGAGCAAAATGAGAGCAGTTACTTGAGTTCACAGCTCTTAATGAGCTTCTGATAGAAATATTTGGTGGTTTTGTTCGCTAATTTTAACTGTGAAAATGAAATCATGTTTGTAAAAGTAAAATTGTTAAACACAGATGACTTAAAAAATGTTTGAATGTGACCAAAGCTTTTCTGGTTGGTCATTTCAGAGCAACACAGCATGATGTGTACATGAATCAGTAGCGTCTACTGAAAAGCCTCTGGAGAAAATGTTTTTCAATGTTTGTTTTTTGCATTTAGGTCATATAAAAGTGGGTCTGGCGTGAATAACAGAAGAACAGAACTATTCCTGAAGGAACACGAGCACCTTCGGAAGTAGGTGTTGCTTGTTATTTCTGGATAACTTGCACATTTCTTTATGGTGGAGGTTGCAAATTTTTCTGGGGGTAAAGCATTCTGAATTTCAAGTGTGGATGAGAACTTTGTGGTTTTTCCTTATCTCTAAAGAATGTGTACAGAAGGCAATGGAAGAGACTAATTCCCCAATATTTGTGAGTCGTCTGTACTTTATTGGACAAGGAAAACAAGAAGAGCTGCCTTTTGATTCTTGCTGCAGAGGATACGAGGTTAGGAGAGGTTTTATTTGTGCATTCCCCACACAGAAGTAGCAGAGCACTGGCAGAAGAGCACTGTTTGTGGATGACTGGGATGCATAGTCAAGAAGTAGCTCTGATCTGTCTGTTCTTGGCTGTAGTCATGCTAAGCTGCAGGCTCACACCAGAGGGCAGGCTTTCATTTAAAAGAAGGAACAACCTCAGCCTTTCTTTGGGTTGAATTTGTCACTAGGCATGAATGATGAGGGAATGTAAAGTTTCCACAAAAAAAAAAAAAAGAGGCTCAATATTTTGGAGTTGAACATCACCTGGAACGTCATGCTTAAATTGCCTGACATTGATTCCTTAAGGTAAACTGGGTTCCTTCCAGATGTTGGGATTTCAATTTTGAATTATTTTTTGGAGGGGTTGCAAATACTTTATTTTAGATAAAGCTACAAATGAAATATTTCTGGAGTTGTAAAATACACTTCTGAAAAGCTGAGGATCCTCTGAGTGCTCTGTTTTGAAAAGAGGGAAGCTTGAAGTTTTGCAAACGTTACCTGAAAGATGTTTTCAGACACTGAAACTGGAGCTCTGTGAGGCATCCATTGCTTTGATCTCTTCAAACGTACCAAGCTCTCTGTATGCTTCAAGGATAAAAAATACGTGAAAAATAAGCAATTTCAGAAACATTTAAACCATCTTCTAGGTGATAATTTGAAGATATCCGTCGAGACTAAAAGAAAAAGAAAAAGAAAACAAGAATTTAATGTGGGTTGGAGATGTTTAGGAAACTAAAACTAATCATGGAGCAGTACTGCACAGCAGAGATAACTCGAAGGTGTGTGAAGAAGCCTGGAGTAGAAGGAGAAGGCAGCTTTGGCAGGAAATCAAAGCCTGCAAGATGCACAGAACTCCTGAATTGAGACTCTGTAAGCTTAGATATACGTGCTGGCAGAGGAAATGACTGAAGGCTGTGTGTGTTTTGAGGTGTTTGCAGTGCAGTGAATGATGGTGCTTGGCTAATTGATAGAAATAGGCACTGCATGTAGATTGTCACGAAGGGGTAACTGGGAGAGTTCAGATGTATTTTTAGTGAAGTTGTGGAACTTGTGAGAAGAGCTTGAAAATGGAGATGGGAACTCACACTGTGCAAGGTATTATTGTGAGCTGCAGAGTGGTGACAGTGCCACACGAGTGATGTATTCCTATATTCCTATTTAGTAGTGGAGTACACGGTTGTGACCCTGCTTGATGTCTGATCTCAAGTAGTATGGGGGTAAGGAGAAGTGCCAGAAAGCTCTTCTTTGGGTGAGCTTTGGGACAGGTGTTGGATCTCTGCTTTGTGCCTAAATCTGCCTTTTGACTTTTCCGCCCTATATCAAACATCATCCTTTCTGGAAAGACTGAGTCTGAGTTTTATCTACATACAGAGAAAGCAGAGGGGAAGTAAAAAATAATAATCTGTGAGTACAAAAGTCTGATGAGTAAAAGGATCCCAACGTACGTTAAGCAGCAAGGGAATGAGAGCAGCAGAAGCACTCTGAGCCCTCGGTGTAGCACACACACACTGCTCTCCATTAAGCTGTGGGCATTGGGCATCCATTTGGATTCCCTTCCCCAGGCTGGTGCTGCTGCTGTGTCAGTGCTGCTGGCACAGGCACTGTGCTGCTGGTTCCTCCCATAGCTCTGGGTTTAGCAGGGAGGTGGGTTTGTCTCAGTGTTACTTCCTGGGGGTGAGAGGCATAAAGAGTGTTTGACCTTGCAATTTTAGTTCTGTGCTGATGATTTGTGGGTTGGTTTTCCTATTTTCCTACCTCTGGAGAGAGAAGCAACAGTGCTGAAAACTTTAATAAAAATTGTAATAAAGATTTTAACACCTGTTAATTAAAAAGAGGCAGGAAGGCAGTTCTTGTTGCGTACCGATGCCCTGCTAATATTTTTACTTCATACCTCAGGTCTTTTGGCAAGGCAGCTGCTTAAAGAACCATCAGATCTCACATAGCAGCAACTCTAGTTGATTTTCCAATATTTGTTTCCTTGGGACTGTGCAGTGCAGTAAATGTGTCTGTATGCTTTTGGCAAGGAAGTAAACAAGTCATTCTTTTTCTTGTAATGTTTTCCATCTAAAAGAAACAAAAATTTTGATGAATAGATGTAGCTGAGCAGTTTATAAACTGCTCTGAAAAGTGCTGCCTCAGTGGATGGAGTCCTGTGGGCTCGATGTGCGCCCTGAGAAGTTCTGCAGTTATTGATGAGCTGTGCCCAAAGTCAGCAAAGAAGGGAGTAATGCGTTTGATTAAATTTGCAGTGCTGCATGTGTATGCAAGTGAGAATGTTTGCCTTGATGGTGCTGAGTTGCTGGGGAATGGGGAATGAAGTTGTGCTCACCAGCTCTTGCTGGAGCTTTGTCCTGCCCTTGTTGGGTTGCTGTGATTATTGCCTTGTGCTTAGCTCAAAAATCAGACGTTTGCCCATTTCCAAGAGGAGCGCTGCTGGTGGCTGTGCTGGTGCAGATGGCATGGGCTGATTTAATCACCAGCTGGCTCTTTTTGTGGTGAGTGCTGCCCTGCAGGCCCTCAGCCCAGCCAGGAAGGAGGTGTGCAGCTTCCTGGGGTACGGGGTGAGATGAGGGGCTGTGCCAGGGGCACGGAGCAGTGCTGTGTGAACACAGCGAGGTGGGGGGGGAGCCCAGGTGGGTGGGTGGCACAGTGGGAGGAGAGTGAGCAAATCACAGGAGGGTGTTTGCATTCTGCATGCAAAAGAGGAACGGGAGAAGCGAGCAGTAGGAATAGGGGGATTTGCAGCAGTTGTGTAATTGTGCTATAAATAATATATACCTGGTTCATGGAGATGCTCGGGATAAATCAGTGTTTGTGGGGGACTTTCACAGAACCATAGAATGGCCTGGGTTGAAAAGGACCACAATGCTCATCTAGTTTCAAACCCCCCTGCTGTGTGCAGGGTCACCAACCACCAGACCAGGCTGCCCAGAGCCACATCCAGCCTGGCCTTGAATGCCTCCAGGGAACTTTGTCCATGTAAAGCACTCTGAGGTATTAAATGTCTCTATTGCTACTATTGCATTTCATTTTTCTAGAGAACTATATCAAATTTCCTGTGTTTTTGGGGGCAGAAATGGCTGCGTTCTGTAGAGAATAATCATCAGGAAACCGCCTTCAAACTTTGTTGGATAACACAGTTGAGTTCTTAACAGAGGGAGTGATTTCTTCACCATTTCTCCCTCTTCCTGCTGATGTTGCTCACAAGTGCTCAGCACTGCTGTGTGCAGAGAAGTCAGCTTAATGAGATGCTGAGGCACGTTACAGGGATCTTCCTTAAAGTGCTTTGTGGGAGAAGCTCCCAGCGTTCTACCTGGCTGTAATTTCCCATTCTTTGTTGCTCCCTGCTCTGCCCTGTGGGCCATCTATGCTCTGTGTTGTGCTGCTCATGTCACTGGGGGGCTTCAGAGCACCTCCAGCGTTTGCTCAGATCCAGAGTGCTGCCATGGCCACCTCTTCCACCCCACCCTCACCTCCCATTGCAGGGGATGCACAGATGCTTGGGAGCAGCTGCTCCAGCTGTTCTCCTCTGCATCTCCATCACACAGGGCAAATAGAGAGACTGTAAGAGAAACAGCTAATTCACCAATTCCTTCCTCCTTCCCAGGTTGGCTGGGCACAGCAGGAGGGAGCCGTGCTCAGCCTCCATGCCTGGTGCCTCAGAACTGCTGAGCTCTGCTGTAGTTTGGCCCAGTAAGGGCTTTCTTAATTGCTCCACTCATCTCTAAATTGAACTTATTTTGTCTTTGTGTCAAAGCAGAATGCGCTGTTCTTGTTGCTTTGTTTTCTTAATTTTAATACAGATTTTAGCTGAAGCAGAGCTTGGTAATGAATAACTTTTTTTACTTTGTAGCAGTTCTGGAAAAAGCCAAATAGATCTGCTGTGAAAGGCAAATCCATGCTAACCATGGCTTGGTTTGGACTGTTTAGCAAGAAGCACTGAAAAAGGTGCAGTTTGGCTGCTTACTTGCTGTGCAATAGTAATAGAAGGCTGCAGTGCTTTGTCTATTGAACTGGAAGATATAATGCAAGGCAGGAGTGAGGAATCTAGGTTAAAACGTTTCCACGCTGTGATTAACTGAAAGAGCTCGAGCAGCATTGTGTCACCAGTTTCCCAAATGCAGTTAAATATCATTGGCTTCTTTGTTTCTGGATCAGGGAAAGTTGGGCAATGATTGCATTAGAAGTGCTAGTGCAAGCCAATTGGGATGCTGACTGTAATTACCCTGCAGACTGACTTGTCTGGTGCAGCTTTGAACCTCCCTAACGCTGAGTTTTTGGGTATGGCTGTACATGCCATCCTAGAGGCAGCAGAAATAAGATGGTTTTTAAGGAAGAGATTTGAACAAGGGAGCTTTTTGCTATCCCAGAGCAGCACGACAGCTTCTACTCCTGTTTCCAAACCCAACTCCGTGTTCTCATTCTGCTCTGTCTCCTGTTGCAGCAGATTTTTCTCAATGGCAGTTGCACATCAGTGACTCTTCCTTCAGCCTGGACCCTGTGTGGGGTTGAGTGGGCTTTATTTGTGAGCCTGCTGGCAGAACCTCATGGCAGAATGACACAAGGTTATGTGATAGCAGCTGCATCATCTTCCTCTGTAGCATTCCCAGTCTGAGCACGGGATTCATGCATCTATCACCACACTTATCCACAAAGCTGGACTGAGCACAGTGCAGCTGTTTTCATATCTTAATGATAAATGTTTCTCAATAAGAGG